GGCTATAATTATCTGTCAGCACTATAACTGCGATATCTATGTAACGGTGGGAACGGATGAGAAAAAACAGTTTTTGATGAAAGAGTACGGAATACCGGAGCACAAGATATTCAGCTCAAGAGATATTATGTTTAAATACCGGATAATGGCGCTCACGAAGGGAAAGGGGGTGGATCTGGTGCTCAACTCACTGGCCGGTGAAAAACTGGACGCTAGTTATGAATGCGTGGGAAATGGTGGTCGGTTTGTGGAGCTTGGAAAGTACGACCTGGTGCTTAACAAACAACTGGGTACGTTACATTGTTGCTTGTCAACTATTTATTAACTATTTTTATTAAAATTTTCTCCTCATAGGTATGTTTGACTTCCTGAGGGACGTTAGCTTTATAGGCGTTGCCGTCGATATGTGTCTTATGGAGCGCCAGGACTTTGCGCAGGACTTCTTCCGATGGATGCATAATAACTGTACGAATGGTTGTGTGAAACCCATTAACACAACTGTATTTAAGGCTACCGAAGCTGAAAAGGCTTTCCGATACATGACCACCGGTAAGCATATCGGGAAAGTCATACTTAGGGTCAGAGATGAGGAACAGGTGAAGAGTGCCATAACTGCCATTAAATCAGCACCGGATCTAACGGTCACCACAAAAACATACTTCAATCCAAACAAAGTATACATAATTACTGGTGGTTTGGGTGGATGTGGTCTGGAGTTAGTCCATTGGATGCTATATATGGGCGCCAAACGACTTGTGCTAACCTCCCGCTCAGGTGTGGTCACCGACTATCAGAAGTATATTATTAAGAGATTAGAGTATTTCGGAGAACACTATAAAGTATTCGGGGCTAAAATCATGGTCTCGACCGCTGACTGCCAGACAATTGACGGCACAAAACAATTGTTAACCGAAGCCCAGGGGTTGGGACCCATTGGAGGGGTATTTCATTTGGCACTCGTTTTGAACGATTGTCTTCTGGAGAACCAAACGGTCGATAAGTTTTGCGAAGCGATTCATACAAAGCATAAGATTTTCGCAAATTTGGATCAAATGAGTCGACAATTGGATTATAAATTAGATTATTTTGTTGTCTTTTCGTCGATAACGTGTGGCAAAGGAAATGGAGGTCAGTCTCAGTACGCGTTTGGGAACTCTATGTGTGAACGCATTTGCGAAGAGAGGCGTAGGGATGGTCTGCATGGACTGGCCGTACAGTACGGACCCATCGGTGATGTGGGAGTGTTCACAGACGCCGACCAATTGATACAAATGACAAACTTTCAGAAACAGCGGATCCACTCGTGTTGCGATGTTTTGGACAAATTGTTGGCAATTAATACACCGATTGTCACGTCATTTGTAAGGCTATTATAATATACATTATCATAGAAACTGGAAATAAATCATTAAATATAAATTTTATATATACAGTAGCTTGAAATTATATATAATTTGTTGGCTACTTTATCTTTCTGTTAAATTCTATTTTATTTAAAGTTTTATTTATATTCAATTTTATCATAGAATTTGTAAAAGATCTTATTTGTTAAGTTTGATTAATACTCTAAAATTAGAGTCTAAAAGCATTATATTAACTGTATATTCATTTTACACACAAATCAGGTGAGGGCTGAACGGGCCGTCCAAACCGGTGGGACTCGTCAAAAGCGAATGGTTAAGGAGTTATGGCGTGCGCTGGGCATAGACCCGGACACCACCCCCGATCACCTAACCCTGGGTGAGATCGGAATGGAGTCGATGTTTGCGGTGGAGTTACAGCAGGAACTGGAGAGGGAGTGGAACATCAAGATGTCTATAAATCACGTCAAGAATATAACCATCAAAATGTTGAAGGACTACGAGGCCGGACGGGTAGAGAATATCAAGCGCTACGTGGACGACGTCAAGGTAGCCCGTGCCAAGTTGGCCAAGTACCGATTTGTCATACCCAAGGACCAGACCACTCGAGTTAACAACGTTATGGAGGGAAAGCCGGTCTACTTTATGCCTACATTTGACGGCGGGTTTCGTGCGTTTGAAGAATTTGGCAAAAAGATCGATCGCCCGGTGATTGGACTCAACTGGACCCGTGATCTGGATAATTTCCACACGCTAAAGGAATATGGTAAATATTTCATCAGGCTACTTGAACAGTTGGAGCCACAGGGTAACTATGATGTGGTGGGCTATTTCGATGGGGCGATGATCGGCACCAAACTGTTACGAAAGGCCGGCATCTCGAAGGCTGTAATACTAGACGTGTTGTCTGAGTCCCGGTTTAACGAGGACTATGTGACCGACGAGTATATCCTGGACTTCATATTCGAGTTCATATCTTATGAGATACCCGAGTCGTTTAGGGAGAAAATCAGGCGTGATATGAAGAATGAGCAAGGTATCGACAACCGTATTCGTAGGGCGTGCTCAGAGATACGAGAGTTTGCCGGCAAAGGACTGGTGGCCACGGATTTGGAGGATATTATTAAGAATGCGTTCAAAAGGGCTAAACTGTTGTCCACTCATAGGGTGGAGAAAAAGAAAAATATGTCGAAATTGAAGCTAAATATTGCCAGAAAGTGGGCTAAAAGGACGGGTAAACTCGTTGTCATTAAGCCCCTGGAGTTCGTCCAGATTCAGGACGAACACGAGTTTTTAAGTAAAGCGCGTGAACTGTATTTCCTGCCAGATAACCCTGCTCATGTAAGCGATCAAATAATTATGTTTTACTATCATAGATACTTATAACATATTTTTATTATACATGTATGTTTAATAAAATAATATAATGGTTATGTATTAATTGATGACCAGGATAATGATGACAATTGTGCCATTGATTTCGTTAAAGTCGATGAATGTCCGTTTGCAGTGGCGTCCGAAAAGATTGGACAAAAAGTGCTGGATGCTCTTAATGATTGAGTCGTTTCATCATTTATACCTTGATGAATTACACGAATTTTAGCATTATTTACTACATTTACGAATTCCTTTTATTTTACCATTTATCAAGCTAATATATTTATATTTTACATTAGACTTTTACATTTTATAAGCTATTATTTTTATTATTTACTTTTTATTTTATTTTATATAATCTTGTAATAATTTTTTATTTTATAAATTTTTTCATTCAATTATCATTCATTTTAATATAATTAATTAAAAATATGGACAAATGTGCTAGTACTTGTATTTAATAATAATATTAATAATTTTTTATTTGTAAATCTTATTATTATTCTTAGAATTCAAAATAAAAATCAAAGTAATTGTGAATGTGTAATTTAATTGATTTCACAATTTGTTTGCGCAAAACATTTGGTAATAATTGGAATTATTTAAATTCAATTTTATTAAAATGGGTTTTAAATGCAATTAAATAATAATTTATTCGCATATTAAAGACATTTACAAATACGGTGATAAATAATTAAATAGCTTTAATACCATAGACTTTATAGTGCATTAAGAATGAAACTCATTTTGTTTAATCAATAATCAATGATAATTATACTTATTATATATAACTAAATATACATTACATCCAACTATCCTTGACTTTTTTATATAATGTCTAGAGATTATATTTTTGCATAATCTATATAAATTAAATCCAAGTAATTTCTTATAAATTTTGTAAAAAATATATCGATTTTATGTTTTATTAAAATTATTAATTTGGATAAGTTTTATAAATTACTGTAATTTAATAAAACAATTTAAACATTTTCCGTGTACGCAAATTAAAATATATGATTTTGTATTTAAAAATATATATTTATATTATAAGATAGATATATATTTTCCATAATCTAAACATATATTTATAAGCATATTAATTAAATATAATTAATAAATATTTTCCCTTTTAAAATGAGTATTACTAATTATTGTATTGGTTTTGGTTTACAATATGACACATCGGTATTTTTTATGTAAATTTATTATTGGTTTAATATAACATAATTACATTGTAATTTACTTTATTATATTAAACCATTCGCCAAATTACATGTGAAATACCGGTATGTCGTATTTTCCATAATTACATAAAATTTTATAAATTATATTTGCCAATATTACATAAGTATAAATACCTATGACATCAGCATAAAACCAATAACTAATTATTATTAATAATTAATTCATAATTTGATTGATTTGATATTTCTCATAACTTTTAACTTATCTATCTAATCGACATTGACAACTGCTATTTTGTATTAGTGTGCGTTTATTTTATAACTTGTTAATATTATAAGTTATGTATTATTATTATATGTATTATTATATAACTTTTACATTAATAATACTATTAAAAACATCATGTTTAATTTAATTATGATTAAAGTAAATTGTATACTCATCCAATTTTAAGGATAATTTTAAAGATAATTTTTATTATAAAAACTTATATAAAATATGTTAATTAATCAAAAGTTATTTTACATTAATGTAATCAACCAGTAGTATGAGATTTTTATCTAATAATTAAAACATGAATTTTTATTGAATTGTTAATTGAATTGTTAATTAATTTGGAATTTTAAATGTTATTTGCATTATCTATCATTCAATGAATATAACTTAATTATTATGAATTACATTATTAAAATGTTTAATACAATAAAAGAAAATTATATTTATAGTATTTGAACTGGCTAAGTATTTTAATGAGCTATTTATTTTATCTAGAAATCCACATGTTTTAAAATTATTTTAATTAAAATTACATAATACCTCAAATAATAATTTTTGCAAAATTAATTTGCTACTTTTAAAATAAATTTATATATAAAACTAAAATTTTTATAGTTTACAATTTTGATAAAATTTATATAAAACATAAAAACTAAAAATGCACAAAAAATTATTAGCGATAAAATAAAATAATGATTTAGTTGTAATTTATGTAAATATATGTTTATTAATTAATTTGAATAAGTTTCAAAATAATGTAATCCAAAGTTTTCTAGAAAATCATTTTTTTTGCACAAGATTACTCGTCCATCAATGGTATCATTGGATTAATGAATTGCTTGCGATTAGAACCGGGAGGAGAGAGGTTGCGGTGTATTTTTAATTACGACAGCACCGGTAGTTTTAATGATGTAGACTTCACTCGTAAGACGTATTCCGATATATTGTCCAGCGATTTAGCAATTAATGTCATAAGGGATGGCAATGTCGGCACTTATAGGCACCTGAAACTGCCCAAGGATTACGACAAGACGACGAGTAATGAGTATTTCCTGAACATAGGACAGGCACGGGATCTGTCGAGTTTGCAATGGTTTGACTCCCGAGCTATAGCTCCAGCCGAAGATGTGTTTGACATCAATAATAATCAATTGAAACAAATTCGGTGTAAAATCTATGCCTCTGGACTTACTTTTCACGACGTGTTAATTGCAACAGGTACAGTTTTTTTTATAATTTAGCTACTGTAAAATCTCTCTCTCTCTCTCTCTCTTTTTGGATTTTTAATCCTTTTAATCCCACTGACAGGTCGTATCCCAAGTGGTCCTCAATTACTATTCACTGATTGTCTCATCGGTTGTGAGTTTTCCGGCCGTCGAGTCGATACCGGGGAACGGGTTATGGGTTTCGAAATGACCCGATGTTTTGCCTCATCTATCAATGCCAACGATAAGATGATAACTAATATCCCGGAGCACTGGTCTATGGATGAAGCTGTCACTATACTGAGCACATATAGCACTGTATGGTATGGACTCATAGAAAGAGCTAACCTTAAGAAAAGTAAATATCTTTTATTATAATTAGTTTTTTAATTTAAAATTAATTACATATTTATTACAACAGATGAAAGTATTTTAATCCATTCGGGAGCGGGAGGTGTGGGACAGTCGGCTATAATTATCTGTCAGCACTATAACTGCGATATCTATGT